AGAAAGAAAGAAAGAAAGAGTAAAACATTTTTGCTTTTTCCAAAACCTGATTATATTAAGTGTCCCCTTGCCTGCATCCTGAATTAGACCTGTGGCTGCTGCACTGTCTTTCTTGTTTAGTTTGATTGATGGTACTGCCTTACTGATCACATTCCCACAGGAGCGTTTCACTTCTTCCATATGCATTGAACCATGACCACGTAGCTTGAGCTCAGAAAGCTGAGGTTGATTTTCAGACATCCCGGCCCTCGCGGACACGGTTGCAGAGTATGGATTTGGTCATAAGATGGGCCGAGCCCTGAATGCTTGCTTGCCAAACGTGAAGTGAAAAACGAGATTTTTGAAGATTTGAAATTCTGTCACACCTGTCAGATAAGGGTAAGCTGTTGTGTAGAGGTGTGAGATTCAAAACGCTATCACAAAATCTCTGTTGTTATTATGAATTTACACCCACCCACCCTTTTTTTTAATTTTTTTTTTGAAAAAAGGGAACAGGAACAACTGTGTGCTAGGATGTATTAAGGTACAGCTGGAACTGCTGGAAGCAAATGCATGACATAAAATATTTGTATAGTCTTCTTGAAAAATGTATTTTTCTTGAGACGTTGCGTTAATGTGACACTCGCATCTTTGCTCCAAAATGAGCTGAATAAAAAGACTTTTGATTTACTTTTTTGACTTGATGCCATATAATTTGTTAGTGCATCTTTGTTTACTGTGACTCAATACAAGCATCTGGAGAAGAATTCATCTGAACAGATGCTCATGAGGAAATATTCAGACCATTTATTGCCAATCAATGATTTTCACAATAAGATCCATCACTACATAGCAGCAAGGCAGTAAAATGGATTTAAATAGCTTTCTATTATCTATTTCTCTCTTTTTTTCCCTGTCTGTTTGTTCCATCTACTAAATAAAAGCCTAGTTTTGCAAAAAAGTTACTTTTAATCACATCAGCAAAACTGCCTCTTTGCATGCAGTTTTATTTTGCACAAACAATTGATCTCACAGCTCAGCCTTTCCACTCTGCTGGTCCTCTGTATTTCTTAAAAAAAAAAAAAAAAGACTTCATTGCTTCTACATAAGGGGCACCTGGTAGAGAAATTCACCTGCCTCTGGCTGTGTTGTAAACAGTCTTTACAGCTTATCTGAAGTCATAAGTACCTGCTACGGACCTCCGGCCAGTTGTTTGACAATCACTCAGAGGACACTTGGAGTGATTTGAAGGAAACAAACCTTCAAATAACAGCTCGGCAAAGGCACAAAAAAAAGACCACACTGACTTGTGAGCACCAGTTTATTTGAAATGATGCCTCTGCAGGCGTAAAGGTTAAGGAAAACTGGAGATATTAGGCCTGGTAGATTTCTCCAAACAAAATTTAATTTGATTTGCGTGCGCAGACAAAATTGAAGGGTTGTAACATAAAAGAAGACCTTTGATTACCACAGTATGAAAAGCTTGACCCAAACCACAAACCTACTTTCCACCTTAGCCTGTAGCGCAGTGACGTTGTCATGAAATTTGCTCTATTTTGCTTTTTTTTTTTTTAAGCAGTTATTCAGCAGTTACATAACCACCAGTAACTCGGTGGTCTTCACCCCCTCCATGATAGTGCTGACAGCATTAAATGGGCAGACCTGGATTTGCAGTAGGTGTACTGGGATTTGTGGAAAATGTTGTACATCAAAGCAGCGAGGAAGCCTTTATGGGAAAAAAAATCATTCTGCAGGTCAAATATGTTTTTTAAATATGCTCTATCTGAGTCAAAAGTAGATGAATAGCAGATTTAGCCTCTCTCTTCTAACTGAACACAGCCAGCTAGAAATAAAATGAATGGACAGGCAGAGTGATGGATCTGTGGACACATTTTTTCTCTATGAGTGCACTGAATGAACAAAGTAGAGAGTTTTCAGTCACTCTGATCCTTTCTTCTTTTCACCCTGCTTAGAAATCCAACTCAAAGCTGATACGAGGTTATTTTAGCTCAGACTTTAGAAGCTTCTTATTAGCCGAAGTTAAGCTTTTAAATGTAAATACAGCACGAGAGTTATTGAGCTTTTCAGATCTGAACGATTCGGATATCTGAACACGTCTTTCAATTCTGAACCTACATTTAATTTTCCATGAGTGAAAGCTGCTGATGTGAATGAGTGTTGTTTTGTGTTTTTACATTAGAGGTGTCGGAGCTGGCGGACGGGCTGGGGTGTCTCTCAGACTCCACCTCCGAGGAGCACTCACTTAGCTCCTACACTTCAGAGTCCTTCGATGACAACGGTAAGACTCTGATACTCAAATTAACTAAAGCGCATTTTAATTGCCAGAAGTTTGTAGGTAATGTTCCCCGAACCAGTACCTTCTTTGGCCCACCATCATTTTAAACTCCTTCAACTAAAGCCTGAAACTTTCTGCAGAAAAAAACAGAAAAGTCCTAAAAGTGGACAGATTTGTCAGACATTCTCACTGAAACATGTAATTGTTTCTCGGTTTACCAGTGTCTTCCATCTTCAGTCTTTCCGCTGCTTCATGTTCTGCATGCATATCCTTCTAACCTTGTTGTCTTGCTGCTGCTGTTGTCTTTGCTCAGGCTGTTTGTGCGTGCTGTTCTTGCTTTGCTCTTGGTTGCCTGATGCTGTTGTCCGTTAGATAGACTGCCAATTATGTGTTGCTTGCTGCCGCGTGTTATTACGTCTTGTGACTGTATTCAAGCAGGGAGTGTTTTTAAAAGGTTTCTGAATGTGTGCCACCGTCTTTTAAGCATCTGACATTTCTTTCTTAGTTCCCTTGAGAGGGTTTGCCTTTCGCAGGGCTGTCACTGTGAATAGGAATTAGTTCCTAATGAATTGCCTGGTTAAATAAAGGTTAGTGTAAAATCAAATGCTGGGCCTGTAGTAATTATTGAAAAGCTGGGTGATATTAGAGAAGTGGAAATGCTTTAATGTAACCAATATGCACAGTTAGCTACAATTCCCAGATAACTCAATAGCATTGATTTTCCACTGGCTAACTATAAGAGGGTGGAAGTCAAGCACCGTAATGATGCTGATGTGTGTGTGTGGTTGTGTTCTTTACATAGGAAATCTATGTAGGGTGCTTTATATCCTGTCTAATTAGTGTAGCTGCAAAGAGTCCTCGCTTTCTTACAGGACACCCACACACACGCGCGCACGCACAGACACCACATGTATATAGACATGTTTGCAACGTGCTTCCTCCGTGTTCTCAGCACATCTCAGTCACCTCCACTGTATAAAACCTTGAATGTTCATGAATGCACTGAGATTCTTTCCATTTCTTCTTCTCTCTTTCTGTCTTCTGCCTAGCGTCCATAGTGACAGTGATACGTCTCGTCAACGATACTGTTGATAACATCGAAAGTGAAGGTATGAAGGAAAATCCTCTGTTAACTCCCCTGTCTTCTTTGTGTCTGTCATTCCGACGCCAACATATTTGTTCAGCGGCAGAGCAAAAAGATTTACTGAATGCAGCCGAGCCGCTGCCATTCAGTCCCCGTTCTTATTACGAATTAAACATCCTGCTTAGATTTCTAATATTTGTTGTCAGTTTCTGACACCGGATTTCTCTGTGTTTCAGTTTTTCCCCTTTGGTTTCTGGGTTGTTTGTCTCGCTCTGTCTCTGACTTTCCCTTTCTCTCTGCCTTTGTAGTGTCAAACATGGACAAAGAACAGCGGCATAGCAGCCCTGGTGAGTGAGATGCAAAGCAATGGAAAAACATCTTATTAATTTGCCATTTCTTTGACTTTATTTGTCAGGGGTGAGAACCCACAACCTGACCTTTTGCATCCTTTGCAGTATTTTCTCTGAATACTTTCATCATAGCCCAATAGTAAAGATTACTATGTCTATTTATGCCGACTCTATCCACTCTTTGAATGTCAATGCAGGCTTGCAGTTTCCGATTATGTTTTCTGACCTCCGAGGTCGGGAAAAATAACTAGAATCTGAGTCAGTTTCTGTTGCCCTGTGTGTAGCAAACAGTGTAGGGCTTTTAGGTACAACATTCAGGCAGCTCTTTGATGAAATGAAAATATTATGTCCAGAGATACTTTTAAAACGTATTCTGCTTCATAGTTAATTAAGAAATTTTGAATTCTGATGACTGCTAAATTGGGCGCAGCAGTCCTAGCTCCAAGCAAAGCAAAGCTTTCACCCCGGCCTTGCAGAGGGTCTCAGAGGATTAGGGGCACTTTGAGCTAAGCCTCACATCCGCCCAGAACAGCAGAGGAGAAGGCAGCTTCAAACACTTTCTTTTTTAACATTTTTTTGGGGGGGAATCATCTACAGTCTGAACACTGACTTTCTGCTCTTAGCGAATGCATGGCTTTCCTTAAACAAACACTGGGGCCGTCACAATCCAGTTGCACCTATCCTTTAAGATCCCTACTCCGCTGTCAGTTGCTTGTGCTACACTCTTGCAATCAATATTAATTGGCTCATAGTTACCAAGTCTGTTTGTTCTCGGTTGCATGTAATTTACTAGGTCTACAAAGCCTTTCGTTTCAGAGCAAGAGTGTGTTTATGCCTCAGTCACTGCCAGCCTGCTGAAGCACACGCAGCTTCATTTCAGACAAAGAGAATTAAATGATGTTTGTCCAGTGGGTTTTTTTGAAGACATCCTTTGGATTCAGAATTTTCTGTTTTACACAAAACATCATTTTAATAAAGTTTTCAATCTCACAAGTTTATTTTCAAGCACAGCAAGAAGAAATGTGAAAAAAGCAAATCTCGCGGTATTTTTCCATTTTGTGTTTTTGTATACAGTTGCAGCATGATTGTGTGCATGTATTATCTATTATGAATTGTGTTTGTTGGTATAAGCGGCGTGCTAAATGGCTCTCTGCCAGCTTCCCTCTCTTGTTGTCGAAGCGTGCTTTCTTCTGTGTCATAATTCGCCGTCTCCTTTTGCATTCACCAAGAATTTCATCATCAAAGGTTCGCCGTCCCATGAGATATTTGTTTTGTTTCCCATTTTACTGACAGCGAGTCGTCACCTGCAGAGCAAAGATGAGATTTGCGTAGAGTTCATCAAAGAGTACATTGTGGATTGTAAGAGCATTCTTTTTTCCCCCCTCCCTTAACCCTTCGTTAGAACATTTTTTAACCAGAGACAGATATTTCAGGCAAGCATGGCATGGCAGTAAGATCTCGTTGGCATGGCAGTCCGTTAGATACCTGTGTCCACACATGTGTCATGAATTATATAGTAGTGGCTGGCAAAAGCACAGTAATTAAGTGTACTCTCTGTCCCACACACAGGGTGACCCCTCTGCCTCCTCTCACTTCATCAATATGATATTTTTTCCCCTCACGGCTCATTAACCTAACCATGAATTATGCAACCTGCATGCTGTAGTTTGTAGGAAGTTGTGGATTAGCGGGGAGTTCTGTGTCAGTCCATTTAGCAGCATGAACTGAAATCTAAAATAAATAAATAAATAAAATGTCGACTAATTTTATTTGCACATTAATAAAAAAGTAAATGAGAACTGGAGCGATTACACAAAGCAAACACGCTGGAGAAATCCCAAGGAACAAACAGAAAGCCCCAGGGCCGCAGGGCCTCCTGCTACACCTCTCAAACATGCAGCGCACACATGCACACACTATCATGCGTGCTTCATTTCTTGTGCAAAAATAAACCCAATCAAAGGTAGAGATAATAAGCATGGAGGCAATTTAAGGGGAGAAACAAAATAAACACGACAAGCCAGATAATATGCAAGCTATTCGGAAATGGGTTCAAAATTGATAATAAAATTGGCAACTTTTTTCCAGATGTTGGTGGTTTTACACCTTGAGAAAGCTTTTTTCACTCATTTTATTTATTTATTTTATTTGTCTTTTGTTTTTTTTTGGTTTTACAAGGGCAGCGGTAGAACCGTAAGTGAAAATGAAATGTGTGTGCAGGCGTAAGAATCACAACAGTCCTCCTATAACAGATGCACAGAAGTGTAGTTACTGGTGTCACCACTCTTTACCTGCTGGAGATAAGATTGCAGCGATACTGGTGTTTTAGACGAGGAGTTTATTTACCGATGGACACCTTTCGCCGGCTGATCCTATTAGACTGATTAGATCTGAGTCTTCATCACACTGTGCTGTAACACTGTGGTTCTTTAACTTGTTCTGGTATGCAACAGCTGAAAAAAGTTCATGCTCCAGATTTTTTATCAGTTAATAGCAACAATAAATGATACAAGCTGAATGAGGTCCGCGTGATAGCATCGCTGTGCTTTTCCTACATAAATCATATTTTACTGTAGTAGATCTGTGTCCCACTGGTGGGACCACCACTGTAGTGCACCCTAATGCACACTACAGTAAAACTATATGCTTCCAGTGATTTAGGAGCAAAGATTTTTCCATGGAAAAAGATATATGTTGCTATTACACCATGTTAAGTTCCATTCCTTTCTTAGATTGTCCTTAAATCCATGCTGTTTATTACTGAAACTATGCCAAACTGTATTTTCAGCATACCACTGGGAGTCTTCCTGTCAGACTTCAAGCTGGGTGTCGCCCTCACGACTGCGTCCACCTGAGGTAGGATCCCATTATGAGCTTAATGACACCCAGCAGAACATCAGACGCGGAGGCAGCACGCGCTCTCTGCAGCTGGACTACAGGGTGATGGGCTACAATGCGGACAAAAGCCGTGAGAGGACACAGGAAACTGGGAGGAGGACCTTTCAGTGGGAGAGGAATCAGTCTGGAGAGTGGGAGAGGAAACACACCCCGGACAGAAAAGAAAAGAGAAGGTACAAGGAGGAAGGAAGGAATATGAACATTAGGACCAAGGACATGGAGGGACACCAGGACCACGGAGATCAGCAGCTGCAGGACCAAGACAGCTGTGACGACAGCTCCTCGCCCGTGTATGAAGAGTACCAAGAGTCCAGACATGATCCGGAACAAAATGAAGACACGGAGAGCCTTTATGATACTCTACCCCCAACTCGGCGAGCCTATGAAGGATATCCGTCCAGTCCCCCAGGGCTAAACCTGCACCCAGCTCAACTTATGCCCCCCCTCAGGGCCTGGGACTTACAGACAGAGGAATGGAGGGGATCACGGGAAGACCATGGAGGGCTTGGTTCTAATAGTCTGGCAGGTTCTGGGGATGAGTTAGAAAGACTACTGAACCTGGTGTCACTGAGAGCCAGGAGAGCCACACGAATAAACAGAGCCTCTACCAGATCTGAACCTGCAGCAGGCTGGGATGGGCTGAAATGAGCTCACGCTCAAGACTCCTTAAAACAAAAAGATTTTCTGTTCCTTTGCAAATCACAGAGTGGCGGTGATCCTCTCTGGTTACGGTTCACATTTATAATCTACTCGAACATTGGTCCACCACCTAAAAAAATAATAATTGGACAAGAATGTTAACATACACACTTTTATTATCCGACATTATTATCCTTGTGTAAACAAGCACTAATCCACCACCAATCCCCTGGCTCATTTATAAGCGGGAGGAATAAAAGGAAATATATGTGTCTCCTCACAGCTTCACCTGTGCTGCCATTGGCTCTGAATCAGTGCTTTTACATGTATTATTTAGAGTCACTGAAGAAGAACATTTGGAGCTTGTTTTAGATCGCGTACCCCTGTATGTGCAAATTTTCAAATCACGTATTTCGTTCATCGCTGTGTCGGATCGCACATGTACCGGCACACAATTATTTTGTTAACTCAGCCGTGCAATACTTAATGCATTTATTATTTTTTACTAACGCGCGCTCAGGTTTGTTTTGCAGGGAGCTTTTCGCTCGCATCCCACACAGAGACTTAGAGTATTAAGATTACCTGAGGTTGATTTTACACAATCATTTAATTTTCCTATGTGGATTTATTTATTTATTCATATTTGTAGCTTTGCTTATGAGTCTCTTCATGAGGACATGCGTTATAGTTACCTGGCCTGTGTAGATATGATTAAATACAGGACTAAGGATATATTTTTTTATTTACTCAATCGGCTATTCTAAGTGAGTAGAAGGACACAGAGCTACTTATTAAAACACATTAATTTAATGAATATGTACATAATGTAATTTGAATATATTGAAGCTTTAGCAGTGCTTCAGGCAGACTGAAGCCCGCGTTACACCTGGTGTTAATATGTGAAATGAATTTCGGGGCATTATGTGCAGAACGGCTTAGAGAATTGTGTGGACATGCAACCGTGAAGTACAGAATCACTCACCCAGGACATGTGCTCATGGTTGGTTCGCTGATAACGCAGTGTAAATGCTGCTGCATTCCCAGTTCACACACAACAAAGGGAATGCAAATGAAAATAAACTCCATGTAACGAAGCTGCGAAACAGCGCTGTTCTCTGAGAATATTCCTAGTTGACTCCTAGTTGGCTAGGAGTAATTAAAGATAAACATATTCATAGTAGCTGTTCGGGTCATTTGTGGATTTTTTTTAAAAAGACACACCGTGTGCACAAAAATACACACACCTCTTCCCATGCACAAACTGGTATTTGTAAAGGAAGAATGTGTGGACCGTGTTTGTACTCCAGACCGTGACAGACCATCGTGAGGCAAGCCCGACAGAATGGAGAGAAGATGAAAAATGAACCGAGACAGAAGTGAAGAAAAACAGCCAGTTTGGCTGAGCTTGCATTCCCTGTTATCAATATATATATTTCCAGCCCATAAACGCATCATCAATAACTTAGGCTCTGCACACCACCACAGTGGATTTTAAATCAACCAGTCAACCTGTGATTGAAGTGCAGACTTTAAGCTTTAGTTCAAGGGATTTAACAAAAGTGTCCCATTAATAGTGTTTAGGAATTACTGCCATTTTAATAGACAATCGCCTATGTAGTTGGGTGGTTGACTGACAAGCAGTTTTATGGCCAGATGAGACCTGTTTCCTGTTTATTTTATTACAAATTAAGGAGGTAAAAAAAAAGAAACAGGAGTAGATTTCACTTCTAGATCTTTTATCTCCCTGAAAATGTTCTGTCAGATCTTCAAAGAGTCACTGTGATGGTGTACAGAAGCAAACAGTGAAACAATGTCCAAATACTTATGGACCTACAGTAACTGTATATGTACCATTTACAAATTTCACTACACGTTGTTATGTATGCTAAACTTGATCAGACCTCCTTTCCATGTTCTGCTTGTTCTTTCTCTTCTTCTTCACCATCTTCCTCTTATTATTGTTATTGTTTTCTGTGTAATAATTGTGGGTGCTAGCTGTATATGATGGCCTGCTTTCCTCCTGTGATCTGATGTACTTGTTGCCTCTTATTTGCAGTCTCCAGTTTTTTTTCTGTCTCTTTTTGTTTTTACTTCTGCCAGGATCCTCTGCTCTGAACATCCAGAGGTGAAAGCTTTTTTTCTCCCGTCACTAGTTTCTCTTATGTTCGTGATTCCAGAACTGAGATCACCAAATACACATTTTAATTACTCCACGACTCATATTAGTGTCTCAGTCTCAGATTTGGGGAAATTGCACTTCTTCTTTGCTGTGGTTTTTTTTCATTGTCATGTCTAATCACTTCGGAATTTATATGCAAATGAGGAATAAGGGAGGATTTACATCCATTCATTATGAAAGCTCTAAGTGGAAATCATGCACATGTGTAAAGTTTCGCTTTGATTGAGATTTATAAAAGAGCACCATGCGTGGGCACGGCTTTACAAATATGAGTAGAGGAATACAGATTCACTCGTAAATCTGCATAAACTTTTATGCATCTGGCTCCTGTCAGAACTAAAAGCCACCTTCATGTCACAGTTACTACGCTCATCATCTCATGTTGTAAACATGCCTTTTGGAAAATGCTCAGCAAACAATATATGTACATCAAATTGAAGGACAGAGTAGATGCTACAAAGTAAATGCAAGCCGTCTATGCCTCTAAGTATGTAGTGAGAATTCAAGGCCGCACTTTTGTGTTAAATTAGCGCATTTGTTGTTGCAAAAGTGGTTTTCATTGACAGAGTTGAAAGATACTGTGCCGATGGACTCTTTGGAAATACCGTAACATCCAGCAGTAACAGACACATACCAGTTGACATGTCCTATTGTGATCAGGTTTAGTTTCACCTAATGTATTTTGTGTCTCATAATAGCAGCGTCCATCTATTCATCCTCTCTATCCAATTCCTATTCAGATGTACTCTGTATTTGGGGGGCTGAAGCGTGCCACAGCTTGCACAAAGAAACATACCGGACAGGTCAGACTACAACATGGATAAACACATTCACACCTGTGGGCACTTTACAGTTTCCAGTTCACCGGGCCTGCATGTCTGCAGACTGTGGAAGAAATTTGAGGCACCGAAAGGAAACCCACAGGAATACCGTGAGAGCATTCAAACTCAATACAACAGCTTCCACAGGCAGAGGTTTGCAACCCAGAACCTCAGTGCTGTGAATCAACGCTGCCAGCAACTGAGACATCTTTGCTGTCATCTTTTTATTCTTTATTGCCATCCACTGCAGTTGAATCCTCTCGCAAACTACCATTCATTCCTACAGGATCATAAATTATTTCAGGTCACTCACATGCTGAAGCGCAGCACTGCATGGGTGTTTGAGTGGCTGCGCATTAACAAGACTTGAAGAATGTTCCCCAATCAAGGAGATTCACGTTTTATCGAGAATTAGAGAACGAGAACGGCATTTGTCCTCGGGGCGAATGTGTAATGGGTGTGTTATAGCAGGTTAGCTAGATCTCAACCTAGACTATGTGAGATAAATAATCCCCATAAAATATTTAATCCTATCAAGTCAGTCTTGTCATGCCTCTTATGTTTTTCTTTCCCTCTCCACCGGAATCTGGCAGATTCATTTAGCGGAGCTTAAAGTTGTCAATGTCCTGGGAAGACATGAAGGCATAATAATGTCCCCTGAAAATGTAAAGTGCACAACGTGTTTGATCAGTTAAACAATAAATTTCATTCTGAAATCATCAGAGGTGATTTGAAAAGGCTGTTAGGATCTTGGCTTAGATTCCCTTGCCTCTATACACTGTCAACAGTTGAGCAGATTTCAGCATAATCTTCGCATTATGCCTTTTTGTTTACCTCAGGAACTGAATTATTTCCTGACTTGAATAAATGGATCCAGCTTATTGTGTGGTACTCTTTGTTCCTGGGAGTTTATTTCCATTCTGACCCATTGCGATGATGAATTTATGCAGACGGTGCATCTCTAAAAGGCATGTATCTGTGATTAGATAATCCTTTGGCTGTCTGCATGGAGATTTTTTAAGTCCTGTTCCTCGGGCATTGAAAAATGCGCCCAGAAAATATTAGGCACAATTTTCAGGCTTCTGTGCAGTTCCTTGTGCACTAATGCAGGTGGTATTACATGAAGAGTGGCACTGCACAAGAGCCAGGGAATTGTTGCAAGTGTATATTTTAAATATATTTTAAA